ACCTGCAGCAACTACGCTATTAGGATCAGAAGGTAAAGAGAATGATAGATTTTGAGCCACCAAAAGATCTGATGAATCCACTCCTTCGCCGTAACCCCAGAAGCTTTTCCCGTCATCGTGATAACTTTTCATTTGGCGAACTAGTTCTGCTATCCTGAAAAAGGTCCTTTTCTCTTCAAAAGATTTGAACAGCTATTTCGTGTCCAATTTAAGAATTCTTATCAGTTTTCTTTTTATTGCGATTTAAGAAATTCAAAGAAAGGATCACCTCTGAGAATAGCCTGCCATCTCTCCAATGTTCATAGCTAAATCTGTTAGTCGAGTAAAACTGTTGATCAGGTAAATGAAGTAAAACGCATTCTGAACAAAATATCCTTTGCGAAGACAGCAATTTTTCTGAGCCTATGGGCGGAGTCACTTGAAGCAGTGAGCCCTCTTTATTGTTGAGGGGAAGAACTGGCAGGGAAGGAATCCAGTGACTGAGCCGATATGCTCGTTATGGATACTGCCTTTGAAATCACAACAAAAAAATACGTACTCATAGCATGTACAAAAAGGAAAACCCACGTTACTGATTTGTTTACCAAGTACGGCGGCATCCATATTATCATAAGTGTGAAAAATGAATATTGGAAACAATTGAATAACATAACTGATAATGGCACCATAGTAGTCGAAAAAGTTTTGTAGAACTGTAAAACCAGAAATTGGGATTGAGAACTGTCAACATTTTCTTTGTTTGATCAGAGTTGAACTGCTGCCCGTGGGTGGGACTTCCACGACTACCTAGCCAACGGAGTGAGTGAGCGATGGCGGAACTCCCCGCCCATTCGTTGCGCTCAACTACCACCCGTAACCACACTGTTTATGTGGCGAGCGTTGCCATCCCAATATTGTATCCATTACAGATTCATACGAAAGAAAAAACTATCACTGCGGTTGACAGGAACGTGATAAACGACACTTGCTAGCCGCGATAAGCCGATCTTTTCAAGTGTGAACGTAATAGAGCGTCATTACATTGTGCTGGATATTTCCATAAAGTAGCACCCAGTTGTCGTTTCAGCAAAAAAACGAAGAATCGATCACTTTCGTGCTTGTCGAATTCTGCTGCGCTATAGAAAGCCGACTCTTCTGCGTTGTTTCTCACAGAGACATGTTTGTATCTGAAATTGAACCCACATGCAATCAAGAAACTTTT